GAAATGAACGCCCCCTTACGGTACCAATCGCAGGCCCTCATATGACAAGCATGTGGAACCTGCGTTTGACACTGCCGCAATGTTACAGCAAGTAGTCATTAGGGCTCTTGAATGTAGAAGAAATGTGTGTTTGCAAACTGTGGCCCTGGGTGCAGGTTTGGACATGTAGTCATATTCTTACAGTACTAAAGTGACACATCCCTTTTTGAAAATAAAGCTGTTACTCTTAGAGGCTGAAACACACAACACACACGCAGGGTCCAGAATTAACACCCAACAAGTGCCAAATATGAGTAAAAATAAAACTGACTTACTAGCCAGCTGGCTGATACCAGTTTTTAATGAATTACATTTATTATTTGAATCACAATGAAAGAGTGTCATTGTTTATTTATGCGTTTGTTTATTTGTTAATCTGCCTGAGGGATTGGTTCTTTCTTCTTGTAAGTTTTATAGTGATAGAAAGTTTATCATGAGAAATTACAGCAAGTTAAAAGTTACAGCTTTTATTGCTTTTACCTCTGCGCTATACAGTTTTACCACAAATCTAGACAGACAGACAGACAAACAGAAGTGATGAATCCTGATGACCAGGCTATCCAGCATTATTTGATTGTTGGAGAATGTTCCAAAGAGCAACCTGTGCTTCAATAGAAGGTTTGGCAATGGAAACAGAGTCTGACCTTTTGTCCAAAAGTGTTAGTTTGGTCAATGTCACAAATTTGACTGGCCTTAAAACAGTGCTGAATCTTAAATACTCTGTATTAATTTTACTTTGTAAGTTTGCTTTTTTTAACTTGTTTCTAATAGTTGTTTCTAATAGACCTATTACTTTTTGTCTGTAATGTGTAATGTGTTCCTATTGTTTGTTAAAGAACTTGCTTTATTTTTGTATTTATTATTTTTTTGCAACTTTTTGTATCTATCTATTTATTTATTTATTTATTTATGGTGCATATGGTACATTTAAGTACTTGTGATTTTTAAGTGTTCCTTGTGTGTTCATTCAGTGAAAAGCAGTAATTGTTGACTATGTATTGATGATGATGATGATGATGATGATGATGACGATTATTATTATTATTATTATCATCATCATAAAATCCAAAAAAAAAATATTGTCTATATATGGAATGTTTTGAAAAAATATCAATATTTTTAGATGCATGGTCCAACCCATCTTTAGTATCCAAAGGAGCCAGTTGAGCTGATTTAGGCATCTGTTTAGGATGCCTCACTAACGCCTTTGGTGGAGGTGTTCAATGCATGTCAATTTGGGAAGAGACCCTAGGACAGACCCAGGATGCACTAGGCTGATTATATCTCTTGAAGAATGCCTTGGGATCCCCCAGGAGGAGTTATTACTGGGGAAAAAGACATGTGGATCGGTCTACTTAGCGTGCTGCCACTGTGACCTGGTCCCAGCTAGGCAACAGGAGAATGGATTGATACATTATGTATGTACTGAAATCAGCTGCTGTGCTAAAGCTGGAAACTTATAACCCAAACTACTGAAAGATTTTACCACAACTGGAATTTTTTGATTCATCATTATGGGCTGCAGTGCGATATGATGTCATTAGATGTGCATATCTCTTAGTCAGATATTGAAATATTAATTATTTATCCCTCCTATCAAATCCTGCATTATTATACAACAAGCCTACTCACTTCCTGTCCTCTGTGCTGATCTGATTCCCGTTTTCCCCCAATCATTTCCATATTGACCTTACATTGACTCCCTCTCCAAATGTTTTCATTTCTTCCCCTATCTATTCTTCATTTCATCACCCAGAGGTTAAAGATATTTTCTCTTCCTCTTTCTCACGAGTTCATGTCTGAACAGCAGCTGGGGAATTTACAATGTTCTTCATCTGTTTTCCGCACAGACCCTGTTTATTTAGTCTTAAAGCTCAGGATTATGGTGTCTGTGTGTGCTTCTATTTGTGTGTGTGCAAAGAGTTTATCTAATGGTAGCTGCTGTTAACTTTCTAAAGGGTACAGTGCAACAGAAAGTAATCATTGAGGCATATGACTTTCTTTGTTTCATGGAACCTTAAAGAAGTTTAGCCGAAAGTTTACACTGTTCTTTTCTGTACAATAAAAGCGTATAGTGGCCACAGGCTCTCAAGCTTAGAAAGATCAAAGTATAATTAAATTAGTCCATACTAATATCTGAAGCGATACAGTAACTTTTGTGTGAGGAACAGGCAGAAATTTAAGTTGTGTTTCACAAAAAAATCTTCAACCTCAAACCTAATATGGACTTTTCGACTGTGTAATCTGTTGCTGAGGGGATTTTCAGCTTTTTGATGCCTACCCATATTAATAAAAAAAACTTCACAGAAGAATGTAATTTCAAGTATGTATGAATTGAATCAAATGATGGCACAAATTTTATTTTTGGCTAAACTTCCCCTTTCAAGGTGCAGTATGTAATATTGACAACTAGCGGTTGAAATGGGCACTGCAGTCGAAATTCAAAGGGCCCTATTTTAACGATCTAAGCGCATGGTCTAAAAGTGCAAGGCGCAGGTGCACTTAGGGTGTGTCCGAATCCACTTTGCTAGTTTAATGACGGGAAAAAATGGTCGGCGCGCCCGGCGCATGGTCTAAAAGGGTTGTCCCTATTCTCTTAATGAGTAATCAAAAGTCTCATCTCTCATTCCCTTTAAGAGCCAGTTGTGCTCGCGCCATGGTGGATTAGCTATTTACATGGCGGAATTTGCAAGTGCAAAGACGGAACGCGAGGAAATGGAGCTGCTCGTGCACGAGCAAATAGGTAGCCTAATTCTGATACATGCAATGACTATCCATTTTTATATTTATGTTGCCTACAGAATACTAATCTTTTACATTATAATCCTTTAATTTTTTATATTTGGCGTTTTTGTGTGTTGCTATGCGTCCCTGTTTGTGTAGAGTGCAGAGCAGAGTGTACGCGTGTTGTGGACCCGCCTATAGGCGCATATTACTAATGCGCTCTAACAAAAAAATACTGTACCATTGACTTTAGACCAAGTTTTAGTTGGTCAATGGCACAGTCTATTTCAGTTGCCTCGAAATAGCAACGTGCCAACAATGCGCCTGAACACACCTCGTTTTCAAAACCGCACGCCCGTGAGCGCACAAATAGGCAGAAATGCATTTGCTGTTTAAACAACGTGGCGCAGGACATGAAAATGATAACTGCGTTGGGCTGAAACTAGCAAAGACACTTGCTAAAAACCATTACATTTAAATGATTTGTTAGGTTTATATATTTTTATTTCATTCTTGTTCTGTTCTGAATACAGTTACATTTAAATGATTTGTTGTGGAGTGAGCTTTACTAACGTATAGCTATGCTTATAGTGTTTATAATGTTTATACATTATAATATTTCACTTTATTTGGTATTATTTCTGGTATTATTACACTCTCTCCAAACGTTCTGCTGCTCACCAAACAATAAGCAGTAAGCACCAATCAATGAGAGCGTGTTTGAACTTAAGAAAGCTGACTGGTCATGGTCAAAAATATGTTGAGGACCAATACTTAACCTCCAAATACATAAACATGCGCTCGCTCTCATATGCATGCACGCCCTGTCACGATCTAATGCCGGATCCTTAAAAACAATTACCGGAACGCAAAAATCCAAAATCTGACATTTTCCGGAACAGGATCCGGCTCAAATTAAGCACTGCTGGCGCCGTATTGCATCGGGTGTATGATAGGGCCAAAGTATTGGAGAGAGTTGTTTCTCCCACCTCCTCCTCAGACTTATAACTGGATAACTGGCTGTAGCATTGTTTTTCAAAGAAACATGTATGTGAACTTAGCATGTTTCCTAAATATCTGCAAACATATTATAGTTTTTGTTATGCTTTAGGAGAGAGTTGTTTCTCCCGCCTCCTCCTCAGACTTAAGGCCCGTTCACACCAAGCACGATAACTATAAAGATAACGATAAAGATATAGTTCTAAAAATCGTTCTCAATATTAAAGAATAGCATAGTTCACACCACAACTATAACGATAACAATACAGATACAGGTACAGGAACGATATCGTTGGAATCACTTTCAAAACGATTTTTTCCCAGCTGATGAACGTTAAAACACTGACAGCCAATCAGAATCCATCCTGCTGTAACGAGCTCAAGAATTTAAAGCGGCAGACGCATGTGCGCTTAGAATAAACAGACGATATCGTTCGCTGGTGTGGACGCTAATATCGTTATCTTTATAGTTCTCTTTATAGTTATCGTTCTTGGTGTGAACGGGGCTTTATAACTGGATAACTGACTGTAGCATTGTTTTTTCAAAGAAACATGTGAACTTAGCATGTTTCCTAAATATCTGCAAACATATTATAGTATTTTTTTATGCTTTAGTACAGTCAAAAAATTACATTAGTACATAAGCAAGTGTGAAGTTTAAATCTAAAACCTAAAAACATGGTAAGCTGATGTGATGCAAATGTTCTCAACTTTGTGTTGAATTTCTTAAGAATTTCTTTGGATCACTTGGTCCTTCTCTGAAGCTTTCCTGCATGACGGCAGTTTAGAACAAAGAGGTATGTCTTTTTTTTGTTTTCCTTGCCAGGCTATCACAAATATTCTGACTCAGTCTAGGTTGAGAGGTCAAATGGTCATGTGATCTGATTTTAAGATGTGCCACTGCAGGTCTTGCACCTCTGCAGTCCCCATGTGACACTGAGCATCTAATAGATCTTTCTCTCACACCATAGTGCCTTTGACGTAAAGAACACATACAAAACGGTCACATGCCCCCCTCCCGTGGGTTTCACACAAGCATGATTCCATAAATCGCCCGTTTCTGCGTGTTGTTCAAAACACGTGCTGCGTTCTCAACGTGTTATTGAGAACACATGCTGTTTCTAGGCATCTGACAGTCTTTTGTTGACGTATCCATTTACGCTGGACGGTGTTAAAACATTAACAATGATCGAGTTCACCAAGCTCTGTTTCACTCTTTCCCATCTGTCTCTCCTCAGATCCGCTTCATTTCTCAGACGCAGGGTCTGCCAGGAGAGCATCTGTTAAATGTGGGGACGAAGACGTCTCGCTTCTTTTGCCGGGAGTCAGACTCGCCGTATGCGGCCTGGAGACTTAAAGTGAGATCGAGAACTATGACACACACGCACATCACTTACCCAAGACACCTGTATCATGTTCACTAATGATAAATGTATGTTAAAGAAGGCATTATTGGTAACATTAATTACATTGTTGGTTAATATTATTTTTTTTCCACCTCCGCAGCCTTGATTATATCATCAGAAAAAGAAAAAAAAATCAGAGGTGGAAACAATCTTGGAAATTAAGAAAATAATCAGGAAATGCATAGAAAATATTTTGCTTATATAGATCAGTATAAATTGAAACATTATTTGTACAATATGTTAAGCATTTTAAAATTATTTTCTTGACATTATACTGTAATGTTTAAAAAGTTGTATGATTTCTATATTTGTTGTGGGATATGAGCTAGACATTTCTTCATGAAATGCATCCATTGTTACATTTTAGTGAAAGACTATGAAAACAAATAATGTATTGTGCACAATAACAAAATATGCATTGCAAGACCTGGGACAGGTATCAAAGTAAAAAAAAGGTCTGTTTGATTTTTTGCTGAGTTTAATAGCTATGCATTTTGCATATGTTTCAGTCCACAGAAGAGCACGAGACAGAGACGGGGCTGAAATCAAAAGAAGCCAGAAAGTACATCTTCAGCTGTTTGGATGACATAGTGCATGTGCGTATCTTTGGATCAAGAACACAAGTTAGAAAATCCTACTTTCACCACATCAGTCTTCAGAATCACTCACACCTTGTTCTCTCCCAGAGTTGCGGTTACATTGCAAATGCAAATAGAAAACTAATTTTGTGCTGTGTAAGTTAAAAGTGTTACATGAAGAAATCACGACTAGGCAAATGTGTGTCAATTTTAATCAGTAGGGCCACATTGAGTCTGGATTTATTAACTTTTTTCCCCAAATGTTCTAAGGGCAAATCTGTGGAATAGTTACATATTTAAAAGTAAAACTTGTTACTTTCTACTTTTCAACTTTATTTATTTATTTTTTTCTTGCAATTTGAAATCAGTCACTTTTTGGTGGGGTAATGAGGTTGGAGATGAAAGATTGTGACCAGTGAAATACAGTTAAAACAGTAATATTGTAAAATATTATTACAATTTAAAATAACTTTTGTATTTTCATGTAATTTAAAATGTAGTTTATTCCTGTGATGGCAATGCCGGATTTTCAGCAGCCATTTCTCCAGTCTTCAGTATAACATGATCCTTCAGAAATCATTCTAATATCAGTCCCTCCAGGATTCTGCGATCGCAGAATTTAACGCAAAATCAAACAAACTCCGCATAATTCGGAGGAGCTTGCTATTTTTCTAAATTGCCGCAGATTTCCCGCATAGTTTGGGCCTATACACGTCGTGATGTCATCGCAACAACATGCATTCAGCTAATGCTTACTTCTAACCGATCGCTAAACTTCTGTTTGTGCCGTTGCTTCATCCCACTGTAAAGCGTGCATGCTATCCAAAACGCACACACACTGGAACGTGCACGTTCTGAGTGACATTTTTTATCAACCAGTTAAATTTGTCAACACTGCCAAGAGGCTCGCACTTTTCTATGAACAACCCAAACATGGACTAGCAGCACGGAACGAGTGAAAGAGACTCCAATGAAAGTGTAAATTCACTCTCTGACACTGGGTCGCACGGCGAAAAAAAGGAAGTCAGACAGTTTTTACATGTTTTCAAATAGCCGTTCAGATTTTTGTATTCGCTATGGTGTATATCAAACCACTAAAGACTTTATACATTTTGTGTATTCTTCAAAAGTACTATTATGCTTAAAGTTATTTTTGTTATATTATGAAATACTAACTTGCTATAAGCCATGTAAAGCTTTAAATAATTCAGTAATAGTCAGAAAATCATGGAACTTTTTTTAAACTATAGATAACATTTAAAAGAAAAAAAAATTCATGTTTTTTTTTTCCGTCATATATTTGATACACCAGGCTTTTATTGCACATATAATGATATAATGAGAATATGGAGGGGAAAAAACAGCTCATTTTTATCCAGAAGCCCAAACTGAGCAAAAATAGCAACTTGGTAAACTTATTATTTATATGGCCAAAATGTAAATTAATGTGATTTTTATAACAGTATGCAATTCAGTTCTCCTACAATAATTGCAAGATGAACAAATACATTTTCCTCAGAACACTGTTGTATCATTATTTGATGCATTTTAACACAATTTTTCTGATTTTTATCATGTTGTAGAGATTTTTTAAAGTTTTGTTCATGTTGATAATTTAGAGTCCTTAGAAATGCATGTATTAAATATGATACAGTTTTATAGGGTTAAAAGGACAACACTTAATTTTCTTTTTTTCATTTCTTTCAGTATTCTCTTATTATAAATTACAGAGCCCAATGGTTCTTGAGGTTAGAAAGGCAATAAAAATGTTAGAACAATGTTGTCTGTGGTATATTTTCACTGCAAAACACCACAAGAAATGCCGCAGCAAAATCAGTCATTGTAGGCCGCAAAAATCAGAAAAGAAATTCAGCAAAATCCTGGAGGCACTGTAATATGCTGATTTGGTACTCAAGAAACATTTCTTGTTATTAGCAAAATGTGATGCTTTTTTTAGGATTCTTTGATGAATAGAAAGTACAAAATAACATTTATTTGAAATAGTAAATACATAATTTAATTATATAAATTTAATAATAATAATGATAATCTTTGTCACTTTCTGATCAATTTTAACGTGTCCTTGCTAAATAAATCTATTAATTTCTTTAAAGACTTACTAAATGATACCCATTAGAATTCTCTTAAATTGGGCTATGCTTTCTGTGTGTGCAGATACTATGTAGGCAGGGCCGCATTAACCATTGGGCTAGGCGGGGCTGCAGCCCCGTATTTTAAGCTATATATATCATTATTGTGATGGGGGCCCTGCAGTAAGTCATAGCCCCAGGGCCCAGTGAGGTGTTAATGCGGCCCTGTATGTAGGCCTCAGTATGACTAACCCAACTCTTTGATTTGTCTTTTTTTTTTTTCAGGTGAATCTAGTGATGAATCTGGAAGGCTGTGATTTGTTGGCAGAGAAGATTGATCGTGCTGAGTTTGTGGGTTTGCTGAAGATGATGTTGTTGATAGATGCAGAGGAAAGAATCGCCCCAAGTGATGCCCTTAGCCATCCTTTTGTTACCATGCAGCACCTTTTAGAGTTCCCCCACAGCAACCAGTGAGCGGCTTTTCATTCCTCAACCTTGTTTATGATTCATTCCTTCTGACTTTTTAGGAAAAGCTCTTTGACAGAGGTTTTGTGTTCTGAATTCTGTCTTTATAGTGTCAAATCGTGTTTTCACATTATGGACGTGTGCTGCTCACGACCAGGCAGTTATGAGTCTCTCAGTCGGACCAAGGCTTCGTTTGTCAGGACTGTCCCGGGCACAGGTGCAGCGCCCAACATTACCCTGCCCTTCTGCAAGGTGACTGGCATTCACACTCAGGTATTGAAAACATTGGCATTACTGTCAGGAACATTTCAATGCTGCTAAAACGCTTGTTAACACTTAAGATTCTTTTGTATTTTTTACATAAAAATTAGTTCATATTTTTGCTCAGAAATGTCTTTTGACAGACATGTCACATGGCAAATTTTGTTTGCTTTCACGGTTTTCACTGTTTACTGTATACACTTCCTGTTTTCTTGTTACCCAGCAACCTTGTAAAACCTGTTTTTGTGATGCTATCTGCAATACTTTTCAAGTGAAGGTCAAAGCTTTGTTGAGGGCCTCGAAGTTTATGTTCCTGTAGCTCAAACAGTAGGGTTTGGTTCCCAGAAATGCATTGACTGATATGATGAAGTAATAAATGACTACCTTGGCTGCCACAATGTCAGATTTTTACCTCTACTTTGGGTAAAAGTTTTTAATAATCCCTGGGTAAGTTGGTGTATACACAGTGCTTCTTACTATCAAATGAAGATCCACCAATATGCTCTTCATTCCAGAGTCTGCTATCTCTTTAACATATTTTATTTAAATTGTGCTGGTTTAAGTTTCTGTAGGAAATTATTATACTCCGCAAACACACTCAGAGTCAACAATTAATCCATTTTAGAGTTTTTACCAAAAGTAAACTTTAAAAGCCGTATAGAGGAATTTAAATTGGTCGTTTGCGCTATTTCAACTTGTTATTCGCCAAAATAGCAAAGGGAGTTGGCATGGCGTTAAAACACCAACCAGCCAACCAACCAACCAGATTTTCACCGCACAGTTATTGTGGCCAAAGGAATTAATGATAAGTATCTACAGAAATTAAAAAAAGAGTGTCTCACAGTAGTAGCTACTAGGGCTGTGTATCACCAGCAAAGTCACGATACAATACGTATCACGATACAGAGGCCCCGATACGATACGTATCACGATACGGGACTGCACTGAATTTCACCTCAGAAGAATTTATAAAAACAGCTGTTTATTAAACACTGCTTACTATAGTGCCATTTCTAACTATTGGCAGAGCAGGCAGTTGACCTCTGCATTATGAAGGGCCTCCATAACTGTACCACAGTACAATATAGGTAATGGCATATGTTTCATGTTTACATTGTGCACTCCCCACCAGGTACAATATTCTGATTGTTTGCATCTTGTTTTTAAGCCCATAAATAATAATGTACTCATTCTAATAAATTTATATCGTAATGTACTCATTTGAATATATTTTTAAAAATCATATTTCGTCAAATCTCTGACGATACATCGTCGTATCGATATTTTGAACACAGCGCTAGTAGCTACACACTATGTTTACATGCACTAATTTTGCTGTGTTCAGAACTGGAGAAAGTCTGCACAGTATTGTCAGTGTTAGTATTGAGTATAATTGTCATTTTTGCCTTGATGACATCTAAAAAGTAAATTGACAAGAGCTGACCAGTTCAGAAGATGTGAGATGTAAATAAAAGCATGTTTGTATAATATAAATACGCGTATGTATTGTGCATATGCACAAGATGTTTGTGAATTAGAAAATAAGCGTTTACATGTTTAGTTGGATAATTTCAGGTCTACAACACCCCTTTCACTTAGGATAGATTGAGGTGATTACATAAATGCTTTTCAGTCTGATTAAACCATCAGTCACATTATAAACAGATTTGTTTGGATGCATGCAAACTTGCATCTTCTTCCATTTGATGAATGTGCAGTACTGCCACTTGCTATGCTTGAGTGTCAACTGGCCACTGGATTGTTTTCAGTAATGTCAGCTTTCTTTGGATAAAACTGCCTGCCAAATGCATGAATGGGTTACCTTTTTGCACTTTTCTTGATGTACGTAACTGATTACATTATATTGTTACTGTTTATATAAAGTACTGCATTAGTTATCTTCTCTCACAGTTAGTTGGCTTTCTAGTTTCACAGTTAGTGGGCTTCAACAGTGCCATTATCAAGTGTATCAAGCTGGTTGCAGTCATGGCTGAAAAAAAAAATTGTCGACAATATTTTAATTGTCAAATATATGTTTGATCTTTATAGGGCATGCAGAATTCCTGCTTCATTTTCCCACCAGATACAGTATTACATCATCTATCCTTTCGTTTATTTCTATTCCTTTTGCTCTGTCTTGCACTCCTGTCACTTTGTTCTTTTATTGTGGCTTCTGCTTCTTGCCTTTTATTTTGTTAACGTGTGGAGAGTCACATTGACTCATTCCGCATGACATGCACCATTCAGCGCAGGTGATGACAGGCTGTCAAAACACAACTGTCACACGCTGCCTCTGATGACGTTTAAAATAAGCCTCAATATAATCTTTCCTCCTAAAAAGAGGCTGTCAGAAACAAGCGTTTGAAGCAGTTTATAGTATGATATGTGTTGCTGTATTTCTTTTAGCTGTCCATGTAAATGACTCTTATCACTTCTGCATTGTGATCTTTCTTGTATCTCACAAATTTGAACCCTTATTGCCGTTGTCATGGCAACATTGCTGACATCATGGCAACGTGGAAAGAGCATTCGGTTTCCAAGGAGAGACACGGCAGAAAAACTTTCTACCCACACCAAAATGACCTGAGATAACACGGAGAGATTGTTTTAATGCAATTTGATGACCCTTTAAGCATGATTGTTTGTTTTTTTCAACATAATGTGTCCCTCCTTGACTCCTTTTGCAACATTCAATTTTGCAAACTGGTAAATTATATTAAAAGAAATTAATCTGGTCGGCTGTTTGCAATTAGCTGGAAAAGAAGAACACTGACTGTATACCTACTGAAGGAGTTGCCCTGGTCATGTTCATACAATTTTGATCACAGTTATGCTGTTAATGTACGGTTTGTGTTATTTAGTACCCTGGAGTTATGACTGTGATGCTTGGGAGTGTTAACTTTGATCGAAATGCATGGAAATGTGTCTATATTACCTTGTAATATAGTGTAATGGAAAAAAATAAAATAAATTGCCCATTGCCACAGGTGTATAAAATCAAACACCATGCCATGCAACCATGCATTAAGCATTTGTGGGAAAAAAAAGGGTCGTTCTGAAGACCTCAGTGAAGGATGCTGCCAAGCCAGTTTGTGAAACTGTATCCCTGCTAGATATTCCACGGTCAACTGTAAGTGGTATTATTGTAAAGTGGAAGCATTTAGGAGCAGCGGCAATTCAGTCACAAAGCGGAAGACTATGTAAAGTCACAGAGCTGGGTCACTGAGTGCTGAGGCGCATGGTATGTAAAAGTCGCCACCACTTTGCTGATTCCTGAAGAGTTCCAAACTTCCACTGGCATTAATAACAGCACAAAAACTAGGCGGCAGGAGCTTCATGGAATGGGTTTCCATGGCCGAGCAGCTGCATGCAAGCCTCACAACACAATGTTAAGTACAATGCCAAGTGTTAGATAGAGTGGTGTAAAGCATTCCACCTTTGGACTCTGGAGCAATGGAAATGTGTTCTGTGGAGTGATGAATTATGCTCCTTTATTTGGCAGTCTGATGGTCGAGTCTGGCTTTGGCGGATACCAGGAGAATATTACCTGTTTGATTGCATTGTGCCAACTGTAAAAGTATGGGGCTGTTTTTCAGGGGTTGTGCTAGGCCCCTTATGCTTTAGCATACCAAGACATTTTGAACAATGCCATGATTCCAATGCTATGATTCTTTGTGGGAACACTTTGGGGAAGGGCCTTTTCTGTTCCAGCATGATTGAGTCCCAGTGCAAAAAACAAAGTCCATAAAATATAGTTGGAAAAGTTTGGCATGGAAGAACTTGACTGGGCCGCACAGAGCCCTGAACTCAACCCCATCGAACGCCTTTGGGATGAACTGACACAGAGATTGCAAGCCAGGCTTTCTCGTCCAACATCATTGCCTGACCTCACTAATGCTCTACTGGATGAACGGGCTAAAATTCCCACAGAAACACCTTATAATATTGTGGAAAGCCTTTCCAGAAGAGTGGAAACTGTTTTAGCTGAAAAGCTGGGCCAACTCCATATTAATGTCTATGTAATTAGAATGTCATGTAATTTTCCTGTTGCTTATAATGGTCAGGTGTCCCACTACTTTTCCCCATATAGTGTATAGCTGTACATATAGCTGCACAACATATAGTTAAGTATAAAGTGCAATAAAAATCATTAATTAAAAAATAAATAATAATAATGATAAAGCTTGATAACAACAAATTATCTTGTTCAGAAGTCGTCTGTTGCTTCATAATACATCAGTGATGTCTTGTGCGTCATATTGTGCATGACTCCTTATACATCAGTGACTCCTTATACATCAGCAACTTCCTATTAAGAACCAAGCAAATGAACTTTTGACATAATTCTAATAAACTTTATATTTATTTTAATTTACATATTATGTGGACTTGTGGCAAACACAAAACAATTCTGTAATGTTAAATAGCTTCATCAGGGCAGTACTGATGTTCTGTCTATTAATGCTGTGTTGCCCCCTATTGGACATATGAGTGCAGTTCACTTTAATGTGTGTCCTAACAAATATCCTTTGTTGCGCCTTTATTTCAAGGAACAAAAGATAATGGCTACCAAAGTATACAGCGAGGTTACAGTTTTTTTTGTTTGTTTTTTTGTGTTTGCACCTACAGTGCACAGTACTTGATCAAAAATGTACTGAAAATGTATAGTGACTACATGGTTTAAGGTAGTTTTAGGGTTAGGTTCAGAGTTAGTACCTAGTTATTACCCAGTTATTACACAGTAATTACATAGTATGCAAATGCAGAACAGGAATGTGCTACTGAATATCACTCATTTAAACTTTATCTTTTAGACTGTATGTTCAGATTTTTCTCTTTTCTTCTCATTCTGTAGGCTTTAGCCTCATCCGGTCCTTCAGTGATGCATCCTGGAATACCTCTCCAGACAGGAAGTGCTCAGTTTGGTGACTCTTTTCAACAGGCGCTTATTATCTGTCCCCCAACCTTGCAAGGTACTACTGTGTGTGTGTGTGTGTGTGTGTGTGTGTGTGTACCTGTTTTTCTATTCTGGT